TTATATCAAATTTTCTTTTACTTTAAACAAAAACGTGGGAGCTTCCTGTAATTTTACTTGGTATTTTTGAAATAATTAATATAATTAATACATTATTTATTTTCAAAATTTATATTAAATTTTTTATTGATTAATCCCCGATAGGGAAAATTTAAATAAATTATTTAACTGTGGTTAGCGACCTCCTCTGAATCAAAACAAATGATAAAAAACTTAAAATAAAAAAAACATGAGAATTAATATTAATAAAAAATGGCAGGTCTCCAAAAATATATTTTTCAATTAAATAAAAAAATGGCAGGTCTCCGAAAATATATTTTTGGTGACAAATTTCGTATGTGATAAATATTGATCGACAAAAAAAAACGGCAGAAAAAAAACAGCAAACTACACAATTATTGAATTTCTTCACAGTTCTTAAAATATTCTTGAAGATAATCTGGTGCCGACTTTGGATCCCAAGAAATAGTATTTGAAAAGTCTTGTGATAAAGCCTGAATATCTCTCTCTGAAAATTCTTTGCATCCATACAGACTCTCTCAAGTTAGATCCAATATACCCCAATATGCTGGTCTAATAGACAATAAATAAGGTATAAGTACAAATACCAGATCGTTATCATATGTTAAATCAGTAAAAACTTACGTAGTAGCTCGACGACACTTTGAGATATTCTTTTGATATCTTTTAAACATGGTTAATAAGTCGCTACCATTTGACAGTTTGTATTCAGATATATTATCAGATGAGATCGGTAGCCTTGTTTCACTTATTAACCTGATTTCATTGATGCTTTCGATAAGGGAGTCTTTGTTTTTTTCATCAAACAATATACTGCTAAATTCTTCCTCTTTTCCCTTTTCTTCTGAATGTATATAAAAACAAAGTAGTTAGATATATTGAATTATTGAAATTATTGATTAAAAGTGAATGTCCACTTTTTTGAAGAGAAACTCATATCCGCACCATTTCATAACCTTCCCTTTGGTTGTCTAATTCATCTTGTTCTTCCTGGGGAATTCTTCCTTCCTCATGATTATACATGCAGCCCAAAGTATTTTGACACTGTCATAAAGGGGGTTACACATGTAGTAAAGGGGTGTTACAC